ATATGAACCCAAATCAAGCACACAAATATTTTATGGAACTGGGTTTTTACTTACTGATCGTTTCGTATTGACATGCTCACATAATTTCGACGCGTGGCATGGAGAAAAGAAAAGGTTTCACACAGCAAAATTAATATTTGCTTCGGTGATCCAGCTAATGAATCATTATTTTCAATATCAAATCCAAGCCCATTATTATTTGAAGCAAAGCTAGTTCGACGTGGATTATGCGCCGACAAAATATCTGATTATGATTATACAGAATCCTCATCAACTGATCTTGCTTTACTCGAGTTAACTCGGTCAGCAACACATTTAGAAAAAAATGCGTGTTTCAATCCGAAGCTAACTTCATCATTCTTATCGAATACTTATGCAATTAACTCAAAATTATATCTAATAGGCTACAATGGCGAATTACAAGATTATGATCAGTTAACGCCGTATAAATATTTAAATGATTTCTCTAATTTATCAGTGGATAAATTGAATTTATACCACAACGTCAACTATAAGTCTGTCTCTGTAGGGCGTTTAATAAAGCCATGTATGACAGATCGATATGGTGCACACGATTGTACCACATTACCAGGATCGAGCGGCTCATTGATGATTGATTCTAACGGAAAATTTATTGGCTTACATATAGGCGTTACTAATTCACGTCTGGGAAAAAAAGATGAAATGTTCTTTACTGAAGAAACGTTCAACAAATTCATACCTATTTATTCAAAAGAATTTCGTGCCTTTATCAATGAAACAATCTTACCAAGTATTAATAATGATACATTGTTAAAAAATTGGACCGATGTTTCAACTCAAGATATGAACGACTAGCTACATTTTCTTTTTTTCTTTTCTTTTTCTTTTCTTTTTTTTTGCTTGTTGTATCATGAAGATATGTGTTGTTAATCGATTACTGTTTTATTTGTGTTGTCGGGTAATTCCACCAGAAAACAAACACGCATACAAAACAGGAAATCGATTCGAATGAAACTTTCAGCGTTTGTCAAGCTTTTAATTCTAAGAACTTTGATAAAAACATTTTCGCGAAAAAGTTTTAAACTGGCGGAGATATGTCGAAAATATTAAAAGCAGTAAAACATGAAAAAACTATAAAAAAAACATTTTTCAAATAAACAGCTCACGTCTAGTTTTTTACAGATTTTTAAACTAAAACAAGGTCGAAAATGAAGCCCAAAAGCATATTCAGATTTCCCATGAAAAGCCGCATTGAACATCGTTTATTATAGAGCCAATAGTCAACGTAAAAATGTCGGAACCATCCTGTAAATGAACAGCACCGACACAAAAAAACAAGTGCTATTTTCAGCATTTTTGTTTTCACAATTACTTTAGAATGTCGAATTGCTGGTGACGGTGGCATGTCACATTTGATAGAGCGTCACTTGCTCTGCAATGCTGATGATGCATAATATTCAGCGTTTCAAAAGCATACGAAAGATTTGATGAATATTACGAAGTACTGCTTTTTTCATGTTGTACCAATGAGTAAATTCATCGAAGTTCTGCAGAAGTTACTCGATTAAAGTGTATGAAGTGCGTTCGAACTAATATATCTAGTAGAGGAAAGGAAATATATCTACGTCTTCTGGTTAAAACCGCTTTGAGAAACATTGCTCTGTTCTCTGTTCGTGAGATATTGACATTTTTCCTAACGTAAGGGCACTACCGACTGCCAGTATATCAGAGAGACATTCATATGACATGAAAGGAGAGTTACTTTGCCATAAAATTTTCACCGTAGATGTATATCAAGTTGATGTAGTTGTGATGAAAAAAATCAGTTTAATAGAGTGAGCTGGAGAGAAGTTTTTCAGTACTGCCATATTTTTTCTTGGATGTGGGTGTGAATATAATTCTATCATTGATTAAAGACGCACACTCACATCCTCTTTTTTATATTGAAAAGAATAAATTTATTTATAATGTTTGATTTTTGAAAAAGAAAAGTTCATCCAGAGAAATAGTTGACACTTAGATAAATGAGTTATATTATAGGTCGCTCTTTTTCATGTTCGACATAGCTAGTAAGCTAGTGGGGAAAAGTTTCGAATAGTATATTTTGATTGATAAGATGGTTTCGATGTTCTTAATATTTGTACTCTAGAGCAATTGTCTCTTGGTTGTTGTTGATTTTGAGAGATTATTGTGAACAATATATCTTTGTTAATAGGAAATTCGATTAGAGAAGGAAAATTAATTGTTCAGCATAATCGATATGAATATCGTGTAAAATAAGTACAGCTAAATGAGAAAAATCAATGTTAGTTGTCATCACTGATACGCTTTTTTCTTGGTGTTTAAGTTGATTGATTATCTCAAGTGTTCGAAGTCGAGGTAGAGCTCGAGCTATATACGTTCAAAGAAAATTGTTTCGAATGGTTTAGCATCATCAAATAGTAATAAAATAGTAAGATTTGAGAACGTATTATTAATGTCAAACAGTGGAAATCTGTTCATATTTATTCTTAAAATGATCGAATACACAATTAAATGGTTGTTGCTGTTTAAGAAAACTTTGACGAATTTTAATATGAGAAGCAACGTTTAATATTGAACGAATATGATAATTAAATTGACGTAAACGAGGCATGTATGAAAGAATATCTCGTTCTAAGATAGATCCATCAATAAAATGATTGAACCATCTTTACCTATAGCTAATAATCAGTTTAAATATTCAACATTTGACAAATGTTGTACAAGGGAAACACATGATTCGTAGTTATTAAAATTATGATACATTATCATTGTCATTTGTTGCAAATGAGGACACGAAATCTAAATTAGTTAATTGATTGAAACGTCAAATTAACAAAGCTTACTTACCGATCTGATTTCTGAGATTAAATGTAATTGATTCTGAAAAATTATTGATTGAGTAAGTCGATGCATTCATTGAAAACCCACAAAGCTATACGTAGATGAGTTACTCGACTTAGTCGATCGAAGTGTAATTGACCGTTGGTAAATCTTATAGTTAAAATAAGATTCTCATCAAATTCGAACGATTGAATAGAATGCAATAAGTGACGAACGACACAAAGTAGCTACATTTTCCCCAAGATTGCAGTTGATTAGTATAACAAATTGAGGTATAAATGCGACGAGAGGTTTATGAATTTCAAGACAGAACATCTGAAAGTTTCCTAAAATAAATGTACACAAATATCACAATACTTTCGTCTCTTTTCTGGTCATAGTTATTGAGAAAGAAATCAGAAGATCTAAACAATTGTTCAAAATCATTATTTTCAATTGAACAGTGATTTTCTTAACAAAAGTAACGAATGAATCTCTTTTGCCTAAAACATCAACAAGAGATTTTAACATTGCTAAATGACAAAAATCTTCCTTGTTTTTCTCACAAAAAATTAACTAATACGATATATATATATAATTACACAATTTACCTATTGTATAAGGTATGACTGTTTGAGAACATTTAAGATCCAACATAATTTTCAAATGTGTCAGTCATTTTCAACAAAGATTTGAATAGAAGAAATGTGACGAAGATTAATTGTTATAATGATTTAATATCATGAATGATACTAGGCATGACATTGTAATAAAATCTTTTCATACGTAATTTATGTGGCGCTCGAAAATAATTCAAAGTTAAATCAGTTGAATGACATTTATCAAATGCAAGTTGTTCTAAACGACAATTACCAATATCAATCATTGAACACAGACACAACAATAAAACTTGAGGATTGACTTTTTTCATAATAGCTAATAGTAATTCATCCGGTAAATCGATGAGTTGAATAATATCTTTCATAGAGAAAAATGAGAAAATAAATCATTTTGTAAATTATATACATACTCATTTTTTATATATTATCTCCGTGTATCCTAAAGGTGACATAGACATTTATATATACATATATGAAAAGAGTTATGCTTGATGAACATTGTCGCAATGAACCAATTAGATGAAAGTATTTTGATCGTCAAAAAGAATTTGTTGATTCATAATATGTTTAACTTTAGAAATGACATAACTAAGAAAAGCATGGATAATATACCATTAAGTCGGCTGACTGCACGAAGTACTAGCAGAGCCAACTTATTGCTTTCCATTCGCTTAGTTGCCATGGTAAAATCTTCTACTTCTCAACACATGATTCAAGTCAACCACTCGCTCTCAGCTTTCAAGCATAAATTTTAGTCGAAAAAACGTTTGGAGAGATCGTGAGAGGATGTGTGAGTTTCGGGGACGGTCTTCTCTTTGCTCTGACCTACACCCTCATAGTCCTAATGGAACAAGAAGCTAAGAGAATTAAGACTAAAAGTAATTTTTTTAAGTCAATATATTTTTGCGTCACAGCTCAACGAAGACAAGAAGCCAACAAATAAATTCAATCTTTAATGACGTATTTATGCGATAAGATCGGCAAGCTCGTTTCTGTAAGTAGTCGATGATAAAATAAAGATAAGAAAATTCGCTGTTTGCGGTAGGAAACTAATGAAATAGCCATTAAGAAGAAGATAAATTTGCCAAGATGTCGAATCCGAGATGCTAGTAAAGACAACAGAAAAAACATCAATCTCGGTAAAGCGAAAATAATAAGAACAATAGGACTAATAGTTTGAACGCAATTAATTATTCTTTCAGAACTCGATTGTAAGCTTGTTGTTGATTTAATGTGAGATACATTTACGAGAATACTCACTGGTGCAATGATATTAATGATGAATGGTATAATATAATGTAAGAGACAAGTTATAGTTATCATATTATACAATTCGACACTATCTTTCTCAAATCGAATCACACACCACGACCAACGACCTTCATTGAGACGAGGATCGAAAATTGATTCTCGATTAAAAGGATCACGAAGTAGACTTAAGCCAACACAGACAATCACAATCGGAAGAACAACTGTTGCTATTTTTTACTTTTTACTTTATCAAAATGAAGTCCACTTTGAATAGACCAGACACGTTCTAAAAGTACACATGTATTCAGCCAGTCAACCATAGTTGGCAAACATTTCAGAAAATATTCAATGAAGATACAACTCAATCTATTCGATAAATATGGTAGGAGAACTATAGAAATAAATTTCAGTGTCAATATTACTAAGCAGCAAGTGCCCAAAACCGACGAAACAATAATATAAAAAGTCCACATCCTGTTGATCGACATTTATTTCGAACAATAAAAAGAATGATTGCCATCGTATTGCAACATAATCCCTTTTCAATAGCAACCATTGGACCAATTAGAGCATCAAGTGAAAGTGAATATTGTGATGTTGTAAATTGACAAAGATTACCAAAGAAACATTGTTGACAGACACGAATGAGTATTCGAACAATTCATTAGACGATGCATAAAGATGAAAAATTGAGTGAGTCGAAATCGATCGCATATATACATGAAAATGTCATCATGAAAACAAAGTAATGTCGAGTAATTATGGCATGGTTCTTGATAAACATTTAGCTCTTTGTAATGAAATCAAGTTCAATATTTGTTCATTGAAGAAGGGATCAATATATGGACAACGATTTCTTTCTATAGCTAGTTGAATAAATGCAAAATCGAATTGATATAATTTTCGATTGCGATGAAAAACTGGTAGTGGTTTTTCTAATTGAACATTTTTCAAAAGACGTCTAATATGAATCATCTTATTGAATATATTGATAAATATATATATATAAGATGTATAATCATGACTGGTATATATATATATATCGATATTTAGCAATCAGTTTCGATTCAAAGTGAATATATAAACGAGCTGTTTCTTTTTCACACTTTAATCCAATGAAACCAACTGGACAAGCACAATCGAACTGATTTAATGCCGCCCGTGTATTAACATCGAGTGTTAGACATATACCATTGCTTTGGCGTGTCTTTTCGTGGCATATGTCTGTTGTTTGAATTCTACATGTGAGACCGAATCGATTTATTGGGCATATACAGACAGATTTTCGTCTTACAGAAATACACATACTTCCTGGAAAACATGGATTAGGATGGCAAATCAAATCAGAATGATTACACTCAGTACTGATCCGATCCGATCAGGTTCACAAGTATGAAATGAACGACGAGCCTTTGAACAGGAAGAAATGCAAAAGGTAAATCATAATACCAACTACTTTGAAAATCCAATATTTCATTTCACAAAAATCGATTTTTACGAAATGAGGAGCGTGTCGTGATGGATCATTTCGACGAATCGGAAAGAGAAGACAGACTTCGGCATTCATTCGTACTTGATTAGACACCATAATATGTTGCGTAGAGTCAACAATTTCGAAACTTTCACGATTAATCAGATAGAAAACTAATTTTATCGGAACAAAACTATTAGAATATAGGTCACTAGCATCGATCCATTCCATATAGACAGAATGGACAGAAGCAAAATTCATTATTAGAATCTCCTTCATATGCACGTAGGCCACGATTACAATACCGTACTGCATACAAAAGACTTTGATCTTGTATTTGCTTGACTTGAGCTACTCTAAAGAATCAAAAACATTTTATTTTTTCATTAATTATTATTATTCGAATTAAATTTGATTTTCAAGAAATAAAAATAGAAAATAATTGATTCACGATTTTACCTTTCGTATTTCAATGATTCGATATGTTCGATGTTTTTGATTAAGAGGGTTGTAGTTACAGTTGTCTGAGGATAGATATCAATGTCTAATAAAAATCGATCATTATAAGCTGTATTCCATGGAGGATCAGCTATTCTGCAAAACACTTCATCTTCACCATTATTCCATTGGACATTTGGTTGAAACTTATTTGAAGACCGTTGTGATATGTAAAATAAGCATTAGAACTATGTGTTACCAAAGAACGATTTTGCCATGGACACAGTAGTTTATCATCTTCGAAATAGTTGACTGGACAATCCCCTGTATTCTATTGCAAAGTTGTTTTTCATTAAGACAAACACTTGAATTCCCACGACGAAAGCCTTTTGTTCTGTCCTTCTAATTCTTACGTGCGATGACAAAAACCACATATTTGAAGAATAGCAAACGACTTGACCCGATGTTCTGTTTACACAAGGATTTTTATTGTCTGATGGGCAATTATCTTCATCAGTTACATTTCCAATTCTAATGTCGATAAATCCATTGCATAAGTAAAAAATAAGAAATGGACATGACCTGACCTGACCTGACAAGGAACCTCGCTTCCATTCACACCCAGCTTCGGCAGACAGTGATAAACAATTATGGAAAAAGCTCTCATCTGAAGCATCCTTGCAATCTTGAATCCGTTTGACTTGTTTGAAATTGAAAGCGATTCGCAAGCTTTAGTGAACATGTATCTAGCTGTTGATTCTCATCTATGCCGAAATCACAATCTTCGTAGCTATCTCTTCGACGATGTTTCGATATAAAATTCGATTGTCCACAATTAAACAGTAGACTATTATTTCTTGTTTCGTTCATTGGCAAGAGTCAGACTGTAAATTTCTGACGAAGATGACATATTAAAGCATTTCATTCAGTTTTCGAGTACATGTGCAATTATGTATAGTAAGCAACGGCCATGGATGATCTTTACAAAACGTAGCATCAAAACAAACGTAATCAGGCTGAATATACAGTAGTGTAGAAAAAACTTCTTTTCGATTGATGATAGGAATATTGGGAGGAAAGATAAATGCTTTACTCCTGCAAACACTTCGTGAACACATTCAGATAGATTTAGTCCATAGTGTATATTGTACATGTTCTATCACCACAAGGAAAAGCCTGGCGACCACATACATGTTCATGACAGAAAAGAAGTTCGATAATATATCACAGATAAAAACGGATGAACCTCCGAGTCTATGAGTGTTGGCGCGATATTCAGCCGCTGCATCGCTGCAGTTTATAACTTTATCAAACGTTGTCTGCAAATGAATACATATGCCTTGACGACATCGATACTCCATCTGATCGTTGCATAGATGGATTTCGAGAGATAAACAATTTAGTTCATTCACACCATTTTGACAATCGATTTGTCCTATGTAAAAAACATTTCTTCATCTTTTAACAAGACTGTTAGAACAATTCTCTCGTGTATTTTATATCAGGTATTAAGCCGGAAGAAATCTTTTTCTTTTATATGAAATCAGATTATGTGAGAAAAAAATATGAAAGTAAAATTTTCTGTCTGATAAATTTATTTGAGTAATTCATGTGATGTTAAATTTTGAAATACGATTCAACTGTTGTTATTAATCACAGAGAAACTGTTTTACTATATACATCTTGAGATTTAATTCTTCATCTTCTCTCTATTTCAAACCTCCAGAAAAATGTTGTAGCAAACTATTATTGATCTACAGTCTGTGATCGTATAATAACAACGTATTTACTATTGTCTATTTCCGTCGAGTTTTTTTTTGACATAAATGAGTTTCAGCCTGTAAAGTACCTTTTATAGTTGCTTAACATCTATACATCAAGAAAAAAGGGAGACATTTTTTTCGTATTATTTGATTTCAGAAAAAATCTTCAATAACTAAATCGTTTTGTAATTATTTCAATGAGATTTCATGTATTTATCTGCTTCAAATGAGATGCAGACAATAAAGATATTTCACTTGCTTTTAATATCTCACAACACTTTATTGTATTACTTTTTCGATCTTCATGTAACATTTAGAACAGATCTTAAAAACTCACCATCACATATTTGAACCCATGTCACATTCAGGTAGATCAATATAAGTGTATTCCATTAGTTTCATATTGCTGGTTAATAGCCTTATTGAATATGTGCCCTCCCAATGTGTCAGATGTATCAATTCTAGTGATGATGACCAGAAAGGTCTAGATTCACCACCAATAAATCTGCTGAATGTATATTCACACACGATTCCAAATATAGATTGGATTGTATGCATCGATTCTATCGATGGGAGCTCCTGATTTCAACATCATTATATCTGTCCTGTCCAATTTCCTTCTCGCAAATCAGAGAAATACATAATGGAAAGCTCATCACTAGTGTGAATCATAAGAATAAATATTAGTCTCTGCGCAATTGAAACGATGAAATTATTTTACTCTATAAAAATCATATTTGATATATCGATCATATATTGTGATAAGAATAAACAAGCAGCATCTCATTAAACGAATTTTCTAGTTAATACTTAGGGTGTGGGTGTGGGTGTGGGTGTCTTCTTCTAAGGCAACACCCACACCCAAAATTTGATTTTTCGTTTTCAATGAAAATTCTTCATTCAAGGTGATCGAGGATCATGTAGTGAATTATATAGTAAATAAGAGTTTCGGTTGCATTATGATTTTTCCCCAGAATTCGTCAATAAACTCCAGTAACCGATGTATCGATATGAGCGATTCACATTTTTTTCTATTGCTCTAGCTCTACCCAGGCTATCCCAGAAAGGATGAAGTAAATTCTTCTATAATATTAGAGTATTTTTTGCGCTCTTTCAAAACCATAGTACTGCAACTCTTTTATATTCCATTAACTGACAGATCGAGAGCATCAAAAATTACTTCATTGACAATCACTAGAAATCTAGTTGCAAAATGATGATTTTTGAGCCCGCTCTGCTGAGCTATAGAAAACTCATGAAGAGCTACACGTTTTTGTACATTTAGTATCATCTAAGTTCTCACTATTGAGATAATTTTCAATTCATAAATGTATTCTTTTATTAGATACACCAGTACATCAAATATCGTAAAAAGACAATTTTTGAAAAAATATAGTAGTACTGAAAAATTTCTCGCCAGCTCACTCTATTCAACTGATTTTTTTCATCACAACCACATCAACTTGATATAGATCTACGGTGAAAATTTTATGGCAAAATAACTTTCCTTTCATGTGATGTGAATGTCTTTCTGATATACTGCCAGTCGGTAGTGCCCTTACGTTAGAAAAATGTCAATATCTCATGAACAGAGCAGAGCTGGGCTGTTTTTTATGCGTGTTTGTTTTCTGGTGGAATTACCCTACAACATAAATACGACACTAATCGATAAACAACACATATCTTCATGATACAACACGCAAAAAAAAACATTTTTGCTAGTCGTTCATATCTTGAGTTGAAAAATACATAGTTTACGATGAGCGGGGGGGATTTGCCCCCGCTCAATTTTTTTGCGTTATGGCTTTCTCCCTGGGAATTTTCTTTGAGACTTTGTAGACGATTCTAATTTATTTGTAGACAATAAAACCTACTAAAGGCAATCATGTAGTTTCTCTTTTATACGGATCTATTCTCTTTTTATGTCCAAACTAGTTTCTCTTTATTTAGGTCCAAACTATTTTTTACATTGATCTATTTTCTCTTTTATATTAATTTTTATATTCTCTTTCATATCAATTGATTTTCTCTTTAAGTCCGACCTATTTTTCACATTGATATATTTTCATTTAAATCATATTGTTCAAAACGTTTTTATGCATCCAGCAAGAGCAAAAGCTCGCACTATCAATATGTATACTCAAAAAAATTATGACGATAGCGATCATGAGCGATAGGCAAACCGTAAAATAATTTTTCCAAGAACATTAACTTTGAAATTAGAAGTGTTATGAATGTAAAAAGTTACGACTAGAAAAACAAATTTATTCTCGTTAATCTTTTTCTTCACATATTTATTTACAAGAAAGCAGCAATATATTTTTTTTCTCAATTGAATAAGAAACTCTTACAAATTCTAGCTAATAATATAGTTTTTCGCAAAAAAAAACTATTTCTCTGTAGTTTTGCGAGACTTTCTCTTTCAAACCTTCCCCCCGCTAACCAAAAAACAGCCCAGCTCTGCTCTGTTCATGAGATATTGACATTTTTCTAACGTAAGGGCACTACCGACTGGCAGTATATCAGNAGCCTGGGTAGAGCTAGAGCAATAGAAAAAGAAAAGAAAAAAAGAAAATGTAGCTAGTCGTTCATATCTTGAGTTGAAACATCGGTCCAATTTTTTAATAATGTATCATTATTAATACTTGGTAAGATTGTTTCATTGATAAAGCAACGAAATTCTTTTGAATAAATAGGTATGAATCTGTTGAACGTTTCTTCAGTAAAGAACATTTCATCTTTTTTTCCTCGACGTGAATTAGTAACGCCTATATGTAAGCCAATAAATTTTCCGTTAGAATCAATCATCAATGAGCCACTTGATCCTGGTAATGTGGTACAATCGTGTGCACCATATCGATCTGTCATACATGGGTTTATTAAACGCCCTACAGAGACAGACTTAGAGTTGACGTTGTGGTATAAATTCAATTTATTCACTGATAAATTAGAAAAACCATTTAAATATTTATAAGGCGTTAACTGATCAGGATCTTGTAATTCGCCATTGTAGCCTATTACATATAATGTTGAGTTAATTACATAATTATTCGATAAGAATGATGATGAAGTTAGCTTCGGATTGAAACACGCATTTTCTTCTAAATGTGTTGCTGACCGAGTTAACTCGAGTAAAGCAAGATCAGTTGATGAGGATTCTGTATAATCATAATCAGATATATTGTCGGCGCATAATCCACGTCGAACTAGCGTTGCTTCTATTAATAATGGGCTTGGATTTGGTAATGAAAATAATGATTCATTAGCTGGATCACCGAAGCAAATAGTAATTTTGCTGTGTGAAACCTTTTCTTTGCCCCATTCCACAACGTCGAAATTATGTGAGCAAGTCAATACGAAACGATCAGTAAGTAAAAGCCCAGTTCCATAAAATATTTGTGCGCTTGATTTGTGTTCGTATAGAATGCCAATCCGAACAACAAAGTTACGAGCAGCTAACAACGATGAGATGATGCCACTTTCAGAATTCATGTTAGGTAAAAACAATTGCCAATTCGATCCATAGTTCACATAGGGGTATGTTCGTTCAAGCGAATTCGTTTTAACAACAAAAAATACCTTTTCATTTGAATAATATTTAGGTATTTGATTAATTTGATGAAGACCAACTTGTTGCTCTTCAGAACTTGACTAGAACAAAAGAAATTATAGATAATTCCTTTAAGAAAAAAAGAACATTTCGAAACTGGAAAAGATTCAATATGAATAACTACGAAGTTGTTTTCTTATTCAATGTAATATGAGTTGATCAGACCTTTGAATATTCTCAGATTTCGTGTAGCTCTTGCTTCGACAGCTTGATGAATCAAGAGATAGCTCTTGTATAGATATAAACTATACTCATCAGACTAACTTTTATGTACGAATGATAAATGCTTCTTAGCGGTGTAACTCTTTAGGTGAATGAGTAAAAGTCTGACTAATTTTGGTAAGGATATAATTTTAACTGGTCTGTAAAAAAATCACCAATCTCGATTTTGTATAGCACAACTACTTCATGCAAGAAAAAAAGTGCATACTTCAGAATTCCATTAAACTCTGATGCTCGTCTCATTCTAAGCAGACTCAACCTAGTGAAAATACTACTGCAATTACAAGTAGTTAATGACTTTGTTTTTTACTTAAACTAACCCTGAGAGATTCTTTTTTTCAGAAGTTTTTCGACTTTTCCAATGAGAAGTATTCAACACTTTGGAATATTATCAGGTGATTATTTTAGAACACTAATATGAAATAAATCCATATTTCTTGAACAGATGATTCTTTAAAAGAAAAGCTTGTCCTAATTTGAATATCTTGACTTAATCCATTATTTCTTCAACTAGAAATTTACATTATAAAAAACCAATAGCAAAATAGGATCACTTGAAAGAATACTAAGAAATTTTCGATATTATACTTGTTAAGTAGCCTTGCTTTATCCTATATTTTTAAGATATGATGTTGTTCAGAAGGAGACGCGGCATATCTCGACAATCCTTAGCTGTATTTTTGAGTATAGAGCACTTTACTTGAAGAAACAGAAAGAAACTTTTCAACTTACTGAACAATTTAATTCTGTTGCCATGACCAACAATGATATCTAAAACCAACAAGAGTATAGAACTTTTTTTTCTAGGAAATGCAAAGATCTTACACTTTATAATACAGTAAATGTGCAATGAATTTAATAGATTAAGTAAATACTCAAAACAAATCAGATATGGGCACGACAAAATAAATCTAAAAGAAAAAAAATAGTGAATAAATAGAAAGTATTGAGTACCGCTTACATATGTATTTAAAGAAGATTTTGTTTAATTAAGACCAATAAATTCACAACGATAGATCAAAACTTCAATTGTCTAGCAAGATAATAAAATCAAAAATCTAAGCATAATAAATAAAACGTACTTGGTAACTCGAAATATTTCAAGTTTAACTAAACCAGCAACACATCAACACGACGACGAAAACACAAGCTAAAAGGAAAATATAAAGAATGAGTATAAAATGATAGGTGCAGCTTACCTATCTATAAAGGACTTTATTCAATCAAAAGCAATTAACATTAACGAGATAAAAATCTAAACAGAAAAAATAAGCTCAATGAGAACGTGTTAAAGAAAATACTGTGTCCAACAGATCCCTTGTATAATATGAAAGAAAGAAAGATACAAACGTAAGATGTCGCTGTAATCGTTTTTCATAATTTTTACTTTTATAACAAAAGATTTGATTATTATAAATATAATATTCTACTAAAAAATTTGAGACGTATAACTACGGATGTGTAAAATAGGTTATCGATCAACTAGCGTTATCTCTCAAAAACAAAATCTCTTTGTCCACATAGTAATACACTGGTTAACTATGGAACCTATGCATACATCATACATTTTTTTTCCAAATAAAATAATATAGATAGATATACATGATTAATCTTAATTTCGTTATTTTATTTTAGAATGGCAGCATTATCATCGAATACAAAATATTATAAAGAAGCTTATAATCTGTTTCAACAATGCTCACAAAATGAAGATCGTCATGATTTAGCAAATAAAGTGTTCGATGAAGCATCATCACCAACGTCTGATACGGTGCAAATTGCCAAAGCCTGCTCACGTGAATTAGAAAAACTATTACCATTTGTTACATCACCTACAATTCTATCGTCGTTTTTCGATCGTTTAACAGCACTTGAATTAGACGATCTTATTCGTGATCGTTCAGCATGTTTTGTATTAGAAAAACTTCTTAATTATTTACCAAATGGTTTATCCACAGAAAATGAACAAATACGTGTTGCATACGATCGATTATTTGAATGTGTATGCGAACATTTCGATGATTACATAAAAGAAACCGGTACAAGTCATATAATCGCCTCGACTATTTCATTTCTTCATCCACTGATTATACCAACTGATAATAATGAATATGAAACATTAATTGATGGTGGTCAAACAGAAAGAAAGTTTTTTCCATTATCTTCCGAATGGCATGTAATAAAAAAAATCAAACAAATTGGAAAATTAGCTAAAAAAACTAAAAATTATAATGAACTAGTATATGCAACATTGCTTCGTATATGTGGATATCATTGTAAAGAATTCTATGAAAAATTAATGGATAAAATCTGTTCAAAATATTATACGAATCTAAATTATGAACATTTATTAGATAAAAAATCATCATTTATATTCGAAGTACTTCTAGAATTTCCATCTGAACAACGTGATAATATAATTTATCCAATTTTCTTCTCACACATCGATGACTTTTATTTGCATCCAATTGGAAATATTTTTTTCAAGCATTTATTATTAACATTAAATAATAAAGAATTAGTTGAAAAAATTTATCAAACCATGGCGGATGAAGAACGTTTCGATAAGTTAATACTCCAAAGTCATATTCATTTATTGATTACATTTATTCGTATTTGCGAACGATTTCATTGCCATTATGAAGAACTTATCAATCGAATAAATAAATTGATTAATCCGGAAAAAAATAATATCAATAATTTTATTACTTGCTTATTAAAATTACGTGCAGGTAATATGATTTACATTTTTATAAATCAGCAAATGGTCATTAGTCTTACTTTCTATTTTTTAAATAATTATAATTATTTTAGAAAATTCTGATAATCAATTGATAACCAAAGAAGGTTCGCTCGTCGTTCAAGCTCTTCTTCGAGCTGAAAAAGTTGATTCATTCACTCAACGATCATTCCTTTCGTTATCCGGTGAACAAATTTCATGCATAGCTTGTCATCCAAGTGGTTCGCATTTACTTTGTCAACTAATTCTCAAATCAAAACTATGGCCAATACTTCGACAAAAGAATTTCTATGAAAAAATCGATGAATTCTATACAAAAATGGCATCGGATAAAGCTGGTTGTTGGTTTGTAACACAGTTATGGAAAAATGCTCGAACAATCGATCAAAAACTTCAAATGGCTAAAAGTATGTCGAATGATTTTCAAAATCTTCGCTCACAAACTTACGCAAGATTTATTACGTACGAAATGAATTTAACAGCATATTGTTCAAGACCAGACCAATGGAAACGAAGTGTTGAAATTGTTCTTAAAAAACATGCTTTACTGGATGATTTAGATGCTGATGATAATAATAATAAAAAGAAGAAAAAGAATAAAACTTAATATTTGTTTTTGTTTTCAGATGTTTTATAAATCAAATTTCATTATCATCCTTTTATTTTTAACGATCCTTATTATTCCAACATATTCCGTTGATATCGAATTAACTATACTTGTTCCCGCCAGTCAACGTGAATGCTTTCATCAAGTATTAGGCGCAGACAAAACAGTCGACGTTGAATATGAAGTATTAGCTGGCGGAGATAATGATATAAATTATTGGTTTTATGCACCGTCGAATCGTGTTTTACAATCAGATTTTCAAAAGCGTGATGGCCATCAAACATTGAAATTAGAAGAATCAGGAGAATATCGATTCTGTTTTGATAATACTTTTTCACGGTTTAGTCAAAAACAAGTCTATTTTAGTTTGAGACTTGTTGATGAACATGGAAATAATGAAATCGATCGAGTTACAGAACCATGGATGACAGATATTGATAGAGACGATCTTGGAGAATTACAATACAAAATTGAACAAATCAAAGTAAGATTCTGATCAATCGCTTTTGAGATTTAGTAAGGTGTGAAAACCCTCGAAAAGGACAAATGCCCATTAGTCATAAATAATTCCTCGAGTAAAAGTTCATTTCACCTGATTAAATTTGAGAGAGAAGAAAGCACTTCAAAGATCATGATTATTTTGATTTAGGATACTTTTCAACGCATTTGGGATAATATGGAATCTGCTCAACGTTACCAAAAGACATTTAATAATTATGAAGTACATGATCGTATTATAGTAGAGAACAATTTTGAACGTGTTAACTTTTGGTCAATTATTAATATCGTTCTCATGGTAACTGTTTCGATCATACAAGTTGTAACTATTCGTAGTTTATTTGAATCAAAATCTAAATATGGCAAATTTTTACGTGGAAAAAAATAAAAATCGAATTTAGGACATCATATATATATATATATTTATGTGTGCGGTTATTTTATGCTCATATTGTGATTACGAACAATATCAAAAAAAAAGTTTATGAACGAAAATATATTTGAAGTGTTAAAAGTTATTGTTCTTCCTTTTTTATCGTATTATTAACAAAACAAAAAAGCTGATAATACTTTGCTTTCTTTTATTCTTTTTTCATCTATCGTTGTTTTTTAGTAGTTGTTGTGAAAGAAGTGTGTAGGTTGTTATTTGATTTTGTTTCTGCGTCGTCATTGTCCTTTTTCTTTATTCAGCCGGTGTCTGCGTGGCGAGAAGAAATAGGTAATGGATTTTTCGTGTTTTTTTTTCTTAGTTTAAAAATAACATACGTACCTTATGCCAATACGAAACAACCTGCATTCTATTAGTTTCTTTCGTTTTTTTTCTATTCTTCCTATGGGATGGTCAGCTCGACTAAATGAAGAAAGATGACGGTGTGAGGTGATAACACTTCGCATGGAGTAGGTATGTGCGTGTTTCGAAAGTAGAAGTAATCGTGCTTCTTCTTTTTATTGCATTTTGTTCGTTTGTTTCTCGGCTCGTTCACCTATCTGCACAGAGTGAGCATATGAACGATGCAAACGCACTATCGTTATGTTTTTGTTATTCTTTCTAGCAATACCGTTCGAATGAGCCTGTGTCGCGTATGGCCAAGTGAAGAAAGAGAAAAGAGGCGGTGCCAATCACCATAGACGATTGAACATATTTGCATTGTGATCGTTGACGAGAGACATTCTTTATAGTAGTGAACAGTTAGTTGCTTTATAAAACATAAAAAGAAATCTTTTCTTGTGCTTTGTAATAAGGTGAAAAAAACAAAACTATGAATCGTTGATGTGCGAATGAGTAGGGCGAGTTTTGATATTTCATTTATCGTTTTTTTTTAGATATTATTTTTCTTTCGAAATTTTCAATGTCAAGTAACGGCCTAAGATCGAATGAACATCGACCCCGATTATGTCATCTACGTCGATGGCCTGATTTTGCTGGTTATGGTTTTAATTTACATTGTGAAAAATCTAAATTAGGTCAATACATCGGCAAAGTCGATGAAAAATCGCCGGCTGCTTCTGCTGGTTTATATGAAAACGATCGTATAATTGAAGTTAATTTTGTGCCCATCGGCACTGAAAATCATAAACAAGTTGTACAAAGAATAAAAGAAGGCGTGACAAGAAATGGCAGCAAATATCCAGACGAAGTTATTCTATTAGTAGTCGACCCAAAAACAGATGAATATTATAAGAATAAATCAATAGTTATCAAAAGTTCAGATCCGAATGTTCTAAAACTTGAAGCAAAAAGTAGAGTTGAAATAAGTTTGAATTTTAGAATAAATATATTTTACATTTCGTTTTTATATAATAGGTAATCCCGATGATTCTCCTCATTCATCGGATAGAGATGATAATCAAGGAGATGATTCACCACCTATTGCACGAAAACCATCACCACAAATAAGATCAGCGGAATCCAATCGAGACTATACGCATGTCACTGATTTTACTGGTCCAGTAGTCGTCCAAAGTAACGTAAGTTTATGCGCTGTTATCATCTTACGTGTACGTGAAAGAAAAAAAATGATGTCAAAATACATAACCAACTACTTGAGATAAATTTTGTAGTCTATGAAACGAGCTTGAATACAAATTTTGATGGGTTTCTTTCTTTTAGAATGTTGATTCACCCGCAACATCAAGACCATATAGCCAAAATTATGTAAACGCAGATGATCGTAACACTAATATGCAATTAAATTATTCTGCTTCAGACAAAGATAAACGTAAGACATTGTTTTATTTCAATGTGACTGTTAACCACGCCGAAAGTTAACTCGTTGAAATATTTCGTTTGCTTGAATAACTCACTTGATATTCAATATAATGACTCGGCTAGTTTTATGAATCAATACTAAAACACTTCGGGATATATTCTAGCTGCGGAAAATTGAGATGCAATGTTGCTGACTGTGTGCAGGGTTTTCTATGTTAATTATATTTTATGTCCGATGAAAAACTCTAGAGCTTCTAAAGATAACTTAAAAATTCTGATTTATATGTAAAACAAATATTTCTTTTTTTTAAATCTATAGGTAGTAATATATCTCAAACATCATCATCGTCACCTGCCAATGGATCGCGAGGTGTATTTGAATTGAGTAAGAAAAAGCAAATTTTTTCTTATTTATAAATTTTCTTTCTTCTAGAAATGTCAGCTGCTGAATATCGAGAAAAAATAAAATCGCTAAATCCTCGTAAACGTGACCCTCGACACACGAATCAAATGTCTATGAAACAAAAGCACGATGTTATTGATCGTTTGTAAATTTTTTGTCGTGAATAACAGTAAACGAGAAACTGATTTTCGTTTTGTGTTTGCTCATCTTTATTGATTCCGAAATCTTTTTCTATTCGTTTTTCGTTTATTGTTCTACTATTTAAATCTTTGTGTATGTGTTTTTATTTCTCATTCAACGAACTTTCCGTACAAAACTATAACAGTGAATAATCTTCAAATTTATTTCACCTTCATAGAGGAACAATAACGCATATTTGTACATTGTGATTAATACTTAGTGATTCTGTTCCACTTTTCTTTGCTGTTGTTTTTTTTTCCAAAGAAAATGTGTGATGAACTCTGTGCGTTAAAATAATAAAATCATCCGAATAATTTATCCGTTCATGTTTCATTTAGAGTTGATTTTTGTTGTTTCGAAGTAATGAGATAGAAAATAGTTATTCTTGAGTTAATTAATTTTTTTTATTGCATCAATCTTTATTAAGAATGAATAGAAAACAAAAAACAAGAAGAAGTTCGTCCCTAAAAAAAATCTGAGAGTAAACCTATAGAGTCGATCTGACTACACGTCGACAAGTTGGCGTTTGTGAGGGTTGGCGACAAAATATTTTGCTGCAGGGCAAATCCGAACGTGTGCATCGCGTCGCTAAGTCTGAAAGCCATGTGCCAATCATCCAAATTCGTTTGGCTTCGGCTTCCGAAAATTCCGATGAAACTAATTTCGCCATGACAACATTGTTTGTTTTTAAACATGGCGTTTGTGTTCTCGAATTTGTACATAGATCATAGCCAATTTGGTGTTCGATTAAAACTCGAACGCCAAAAAATCGACTATTGATACATGCATAATCGTAAACAATTGTTTGTTTTATTTGAAAAAAATCGAAGTATCGTAATAGATTTCGATTGAATTGATAGATTTTTTGACCACTTTGTGTTTGTTTTTCGCATACACATTGATTTAGATTTTTTATACGAATAAAATTACAATAATCATCGTTGATATGTAATTCTTCTTCTTCTGCTTTGCCAATTGATGTTCGAATGTCAAATATGTCATCGTATGTGTCCGAATAATTTGAGTTATCTTTAGATCTGACCACATCAATATGTGTATATTTCGATGAGTATTTTAATAGACGTTTAACTGAGAAATAGCTCGGATCATCTGCATCGCGAGTTAATTCAAGAATTAATCGCTTTTGATGATGACGTAAATACAAACGATGTGTTGTTTGCTCGTCGTTTGTTGCACGAAAACCAGCACATATGAGTTCGTTTTCGAACATTTCAATGTCATTAACACCTTTATTCTTATTAAAGGTAATGAAGAAATCTTTTTCGTTACGAGGTCGATGTTCTTCATTGCGTAATGATTGAACACTAAGAAGTCGATTGGAGAGACTATTGGGATATTGAGTTCGCTGTTCGGAATTTTGATACGTATAAACAGTACCGAGACGAATTTCAATAGGCAGTGAATTAGTCATTTCTTTATTTTGAAAATCTTGTGATTTTTTTGTAAAATCATCGATATACACGCTTTCCAGTTGATCATGATCACTATTTTCGCCATCGTCTGGACTTACCATCGGAATACAATTCATTTGATTTACATGTTCAGGATTAACAATACCTGAGTATGGCATCAATTGTACTAGGGTTTGTGGATTTGTAGCTTTTTCTATCAGCATTCTTTGTAAGTTATTTGAAGTTATTATGAGGCGAAAACAGAAAAAAAACGACGCTTTTTATCTGGTTAAAAATCGATGAGTCATTCGAAATGTACTTTACACTATCGCGCTGTTATTTTTATTGATGCAGAAAGAAGTGCGTGGCGCTTGCTTTACGAACGAATAAAACAAAATCATACTTTTTTTCCCATACACCAAACGTAAAGCTATCTATCATTCATTTTCGAAAGTTTCTGACAATAAACGAAAAGAAAATATTCATTGAAATTTCTTGTACAAGCATAGGGAATGTTCTCGAATTGAAAATTCTCCAACAAAAGCTAAATTTCATTTCGTTTCTTCGATTTGCGTAAAAAAATAACTACACACCGATGAGGCAATGGAGAAATCGATGCCTAAGTTTATTTTAGATAAAGCATTTCATCATCCCTAGTTTGTGCTCTCATAGCACCTGATGCATTTATTTTACGTAGAATAGAATACGCAATTATTCAAATCTATTGGCCACGTGTCACGATTTGCATTTAAACTTATCCCAAAATATAACTGATGAGAACACTTGTACAGCTGGACTTAGGCGTGGGTGTTTTGTTTTGATGTGTGATGGAATGCTGAGTGTTGAAATTGAACACATAATTTTCGACACAATTAAAAATATCTTTCAGATTTAAAAAAAAACCTAAAATCAAATAACATCATGGGTGTCCTTGAACGTATTGCCGATATTGAGGCTGAAATGGACAAAACTCAAAAAAATAAAGCAACAGCACGCCATTTAGGTTTACTCAAAGCACAATTAGCCAAACTAAGACGTGAATTAATTGAACCGAAAGGTGCTGGTGGCGGCGGAAAATGTGAAGGCTTCGATGTTGCTAAAACTGGTGATGCTCGTATTGGTTTTGTTGGCTTTCCATCAGTCGGAAAAGTATGTTTTTCAATATTTTCAAGAAAGCAAAAAAAACACAGCCAAAATTTATAATTCTCTAGAGTACATTATTAACTAATTTAGCTGGTGTTTATAGTGAAGTGGCCGCTTATGAATTTACTACGCTTACAACTGTGCCTGGTGTTATTCGATATAAAGGTGCAAAAATTCAATTACTCGATTTACCCGGTATTATCGAAGGTGCAAAAGATGGTAAAGGTCGTGGTAAACAAGTTATTGCAGGTCTATTTTACACTGAAACTTCTTCGTATAAAATATTTAAAAAAATATTTTCTTCTTCTGTCTAGTCGCTCGAACATGTAATTTAATATTTATAGTATTAGATGTACTTAAACCATTAGGTCATAAGCGTTTAATCGAACGTGAACTTGAAGGTTTCGGCATACGTTTAAATAAAGAACCGCCAAATATTTACTTCAAACGAAAGGATAAAGGTGGAATAAACTATCAAGCATTAGTTCCACAAACAACAATAGATCTCGAAACAGTCAAAGCTATACTTGGTGAATATAAAATTCATAATGCTGTAAGTAACAATAAAAAATATTCACGTTGACTTAATCCCCTGTAATTCCATTCATTGTTATGAAAAGAAATTTTTGTCTGAAAATTTAATCAAAAGGGATTTCGAGAACATGTGTTTCCTCTTATACACGTGTAATTAAAACAACTGAATAATCCATAAGAAAACATAGCTTTAGACTCATGTTACAGGTTCACAGAACCTCGATATAATTTTTTGTTTTCATTAGGATATTATTATACGTTGCGATGCAACTGAAGACGATATCATTGATTTAATTGAAGGCAATCGTGTCTATGTACCAGCTATATATGTTTTAAATAAAATCGATCAAATATCAGTTGAAGAATTAGATATTATTTATAAAGTTCCTCATTGCGTACCGATATCAGCTCATCACAAATGGAATTTCGATGATTTGCTGGAGAAAATGTGGCTATATTTAAAACTTGTGCGAATCTATACGAAACCAAAAGGTCAACTGCCAGATTATGCGTCACCTGTTGTACTTACACAAGGAAGAAGTTCAGTGGAAGATTTTTGCAATAAAATTCATCGAGCTATTTTAGTGGATTTTAAATATGCGCTTGTTTGGGTAATATTATTCTTGCAATTGTTTTGTTAATAATAACTTTTCTCGTTTTCAAGGGCGCATCTGTTAAACATCTTCCACAAAAAGTCGGTAAAGAACATGTTCTGTAAGTACAATAAATGTTTTTTCAATTGACAGAAAAAAAAACCTTGTGCTTCCGTTCTATTAATTTAGTCTCGATGAAGACGTTGTCCAAGTTGTCAAGAAAGCTGGTTAAACAATTGTTATATTTTATTTATCGTCAAATAAAAACATGTTTTGATCTAGAAGAATCATAACTGATCTAATTGCTATTGAAACGAAACACCTGACATGACATTTTTTTAAAAGTCAATAAAAGATTCTTTGGAATGAATGTTAAACACAAGTGTTGTAGTTTAAAAAGAAATGAACAAGCAATAGATACGATCTATGCTGAGGTTTCTCACTTTGTAATCTAGCAGTCTTTACTGAAATTTTCTTTACTTACACTGTGAATATCACTTGATCGAACATGAGTAGAATAGTGATTTTGTTTTTGTAACTCACACGTGTTCCTGTTCTCAGAAGTAGAAAAAAAATCTTGATACAGCATTGATGATAATAGCTGCTGGCAAAAAAAACAATCTGATTCAAATTACGAGTACAATACTTCCTACGCGTCCCTGAGTAAACTACGAAAATATAAAAAACATGTGTGGGAAGTATATGTAATATAAAGATTTCATAAAATCTTGATCTGTCATTTTCATTTTTAATAAGTACGAAGAAATAGATAAGGCAATAGCAAATAATGATTGATTACCACGCGACTGTGAATCACCTTCAAACTTATGTTATTTTTGCTTTTCGGTAATTGCGTACACTTTTCATGCTTGCAAAGTCAAAACTCTGCTGTTTTGACATCGAAAGTTGATTATCACAGAAAACAAAATGTAAATTCTAAGTAGCTTGTATTGATTTTTTTTTGTAATATTCTCTCAATAGTGAAGGATATGCCTGATTCAAGAATTTTTACTTTTGAACTTTTTGTGTGAAGAAGAAAATATGTCACTGGCTCTCACGAATCAGTTCAAATGTTTCTCTATATTTTAATAGATGAGGATGAGATCTGGGTAATTTCTCTTGTCCAATATCTACTGCTTGTTGAACATATGTAATTGTCATACTATGTTGTCCAGTGGATAAATATAATTTCGCCATATTGTGATATATTATTGCTAAATTAGGATGATTTTTTGGTAGCTTTTCTTCATGTATTTTCAATCCTTTTTCACAGTATGTTAACGCCATTAAATAATTTTCCATTTCACGATAAGTTTCACCTAAATTTATATATGTTGTTGCACATTCAAGAGAACTACGTGTTACATTTCCTTGAATACTTAACGACTTTTCATAATCACCCATTAGTCGATGAACACCGTCAATATCACTATATGTAATGGCCCGGTTAGGGTGTACTTCTGGTAGTGCCTGATCTCGGATTGCGAGACTCGTTTCAAAATAGCTTAATGATGTTGAGTACCCAGGTCGTTCATTCCTACAACTGTATCCAATCGGATCTGAAAACGGGTTTCCTCGGATCTTATATGAAAGCCTACAAGAATCGACGGATTCCGGGTTTCGGATCCATAGGATCGGAATCCGATACATATTCTATTCTGAGATCTGATACGCCTAAAAAAGTCTGCTATAGTCAACCTCTAAAAAACTTTTTTGCACTAAACAGAATTTTGATCCTTTTTAAAATTTTCCCGTCGGATCCGTCAATAATTCAGAAACCCAGAATCCAATTGAATTTCCTCGGTTAGTAGGATGTTATATGATCCGATAGAATTCGTCGTCGGATTAGTCGACCGGGGTAACCTTTCATGCTGCGATAGATTCTTCCGAGCCAATCATATGAAAAAGCTAGTAACTGATAATTCCAAGGCAAAGCTATTTCACTGATTTTTATTGATTTTTCAAAGTATTCAAGCGCTTTCGAGTAGTCACCTATATTGTAATATACTAGATCAATGCTGCAGTAGCCAATCGCCAAATGAGGATGATTTGGAGGCCGAGCTATTTCTAACATTGTATTTGATTTATCATAAAAGTCAAGTGCTTTCGAGTGGTCACCCTTATTATTATACACTTGTCCGATGTTGTTGTAGGAAGTAGTCAAATCTGGATGATTCGAAGGTGAAACTTTTTCTCGTATATTGAGTGATTTTTCGTAGCATGTTGCCGCTTTTTCATATTCACGCTGATTATTTTTCAAGAATCTCATCTGGCGATAGATACATGCTTTATCGCTATCATCGGAAGCATTCTAGAGCAATTCGTTGTAGAGTTCTTCAGCTTGATCAAAGTGACCCACTTTGAGTATCAACGTACTCACTCGATGCCACCCTTCACCAGAAATCTTCTCTCTAATACGATTGGTAAGAACAGGAAGTTGTGAATCATTATCATCAGTAAGAGTCAATGATAGTTCCTAGACGATTGTTGCTCACCGTAGGTGTAATCTCACTCACACGAAATACGGTGTACATTGTAAAAAGTAATTATCTGTTGTACTCCACAGATAGCGCTATAATCATCAATCATTGCATATGGAGTAGTCGAAGTTGAGATTTGTTTTTGATTGATCGTAATAATAAAAAGAATACCTTCAGTGTCCGTCGTTTTACGCAGTAAATCTTCATCAAAACTCATGGATATTTTTCTATGTTTACTAGTCAACAAAAGTCTATTGAATGATAGAAGACCATCTTTCGCTTTCAAAAGTTTTTGAAAATTTTGTTGAGAAAGTGCCCGACCACGATAAACAGTAAACGATTCCCTATAGTCCTCCGATTATTTGTAATACAGTTGTTCAATTTGTTGATGGAGTTTACAAATGAAGAAACCCATTTTAAGCACACACTCTACATTCAAGGTTCTTAGGGCTTTATTGAGCATACCATAAATAAATAGATCTTTAGTATACCACCAGATTGGAGATTGGCGATGATATTCATGCTGAAAATATGTCAATTGAGATTCAGGCGCTTTTTGTTGATGACAATATTCAATTAGTTTATTAAAGGATTCTGAATCATCATCATCGATTTCCAAAACAATTTCTTTGAAAAGAACCGAATACATGTAGGATAGTTCCAATTGATCGTGATTTCGCTGGTCAGATACTATTTCCGTTATAGTTTGGTTAGAAACGAAGCTAATTGATATTTCGTTGTGATCAATTTGGTGGACGACTTTTTTCAATGAATCACAAATATCTTTGATTGAGGTAAAAACGCCTTGAATCTTTGACTAGTTTTCTGCCCATGCTTTATGTCGTGCTGCGTTACCACAGAGAATGTAAATAGCATCTAGCTGTAATAAATTGTGGATATCTCGTACAAGAATCTCATCTAAAAATCCTGAAGTGATAACAAGAATTTTTTTCCATACTAATAGTGTTAAGTAATGGAATACATTCTTTCTGGCTTTTTAAAGATATTAATGTCACTGATGATATCTTCAACTGTTTCGATGTTCTTTTTCCATTCCTCTTCAGACCTCGTCAATAGTAGATGGCATTCGAATTAGCATTCGACTATGGTGAAATGCAATATGAAGTTCTAGCCGAGTTTTCGAAAGAATTGAGAATAAAATAAAAAAATGAATGATTGACTTCAAAATTGATTTGTATTATTTTCTCATATTTTCTGTTTCATTCTCCTTTGAGCCTAAAAATTCTGGATCATCGTTTTAACTGAATCACTGATGAAAATTTCAAATACTGTTCAAATAGCTAGAGTGAAATCGAAAATTTTGTTATCTTTGTGACTCATTGTATTATATTCTTAAAGCAGCAATTGTAAAATTGATTACTACAAGAGCACTCTTATATCCTATGTCTTTTTTTAATGAATTCTATCAGTTAAACGGTCAATTACCTTGATGATTTTTTATCTTAGATCAGCCTTAATGAGGAGAGGGTGGAAAGCAGCAAAAATCTCGCTTTTACCATTAAACTTAACATTTTCTTCGAAAACATATGAGAGTTTGACAAAATTCTCACACTTCTGATTATAACGGGTGCGGTAGGATAAATGGCGGTCTAGTATTTTCGCGACATATTCCTCAATTCTCATCCGATTCGATCTTTTTTCTTTGAAATGTGCGCGGTCTATAGCTCTACAAATCCCCATGTTTCATCTAAACATCCAAAATAAATATAAATTTTCCAAAGATAAATAGTAAAGAGCATCAAAAGGTGGTACTTTCAACGTACCAAAAAGGTAATACTCCGAAACAAATTTATCATGATTTAAACGGTGGGCTCGGTTTACGAACAATCGAAATATGGTACCAAATGATCCGGCAGTCAGGCACTATCACATTATCAAAACCACCAGGCGGTCCTCCTTTGGCTCGAACAAAGGAAAACCTTCAAAAGGTAAAGAACCGGTTACGCCGAAAAAAAGATGCCAGCTCGAAAAATATCGATGGAGCCTGACATATCCGAGAGAAGTGTTCGGCGAATAATGAAAAACGATTTAGGGTTATATCCCTATAAAAAAAAAGTAATCGAACCATTGCTTTCCGATCATCAAAAGCTCAAACGGAAACAATTTGCAAATTGGGTTCGAACAAATTTCCGAAAAGAAGATACTTTAAAAATCCTCTTTTCGGATGAAAAGATGTTGGACATTGATGGTGTTTATGATACTCAAAATGATCGAGTGTGGACAGTAGATCGTGCTGGTGCCGATAAAAATGGTGGCATTCAGCAGCGACGAAAATTCCCACAAAAAGTAATCATTTGGCTCGGTACCTGTTCCAAGGATCTCACACCCTTGGTAATCTTGGATGAAGAAACAGTCGATCACACTGTTTATATCGAAAAAGTGCTTCCTGTTCCTTTAAAATATGGGAATCAATTTTTCGGTAGCAACTGGGTCTTTCAACAGGATGATGCCAAGCCTCAGTCGCATCATTTATCACAAAAATGATGTCGAGACAATTTTCCAACATTTATTGAGAAAGACAGATGGCCACCAAATAGTCCAGATTTAAACCCACTGGACTATTCAATTTAGGATCAGCTGGTCAACAACATCAATTGGAACAAAGTCTACTAAAAAAAACACCGAGTCAAGAATTAAAATGGTCGGTTAAAAAAGTTTCTGAACCTGTTGTTTTTGAAAGTTGTGCGTATTGGATCAATCGATTGTATCGTCTTTATCAAAATGATGGAAATTATTTGTGTTAACAAAAATAGTATCATTTTGTAGAACTTTGAAAGACAATTCTTTTGAAAAAAAGGGAGCCAAATCGGACTAAGATTAAAAGAGATATCGGCAAAATACTGAGACCGCCATTTATTCTGCCGCACCCGTTATGTGTATCAATGGCATAAATTCGCATCGACCTTTGATGAATTCATCAGTTTTTTAGTTAAAAGTATGGAGACATTACTACAAACCGATCAAAGCCAATTCAACTATACAACCCCAAATAAACTGAAAATTTCGGTGGAGTAGTCTGAACCTTTCTTCTTTTGAATGAATACAAACAGTCGAACTTCTAAATTTTGACATACTCTTCATTTGCTCGGTACTCTCATGGCGGCTCTCTTAATATAATGATATTGTGAGACTAAAGTATCTGTTTAAATACGCTCAAAAAAGATCTAAACATATCGTAGTTTATCTAAAATACACACTTACCCTTTTTGCTAGTTTATGATTTTTGGGTCATCTTTGAACAGATATAAAAAAACGATCGAAATTATTTAATGGGTTCTCTAAAAAGCACAGAATCGCAATATTAGGTTCTAGATTTAAGCACAATCTTATCTTCGCCTCAAAAATTACAGCCAAACAATCACGATATTCTTCTCTCTAATCATTATTAAAGGAGCAATTGTGAAATTGATTAATACAAGAATACTCTCTTAAATTCTATCAGCCCTTTTTTCTTTAAGAATTTTATCGATTAAACGATCAATTATCCTGATGATTCATTATCTTAGATCAGCCATAATCAAATTGGCTAGTGACTAACATCTGTTGATGTCTTGGTTGTAATTTAACACATGAAATATGTCCGTAAAAATATACATCTCCAATTTCATATTCAAAAACTACATCCATATATAGCTAGATAGAAACCATTTATGCGCACACCACACAAATAGATAGGTAGGTGGTTAGATGAATGATCAAATCACATTGGTAGAGTTTGGAAAGATGTAACGATTCATTACTATTATCCAATTTAATATACCTGTAGCAGCAATGTCAAAGATCGAAAAAATGTTCACGTTACGAAAAGTCCTACAATTATATGTAGGACCTTACATACATCATGACATATCACATACTTATATATATATATATAAGTAGCTGAAGGAAAAGCAAAATATAGATAAGCTACAAGCGGATCTTTCCTTTCTTCAGCGAATTTTTCTTTTCTGTAAAGGACTTTTCCTTTCAATTCAGCTAATTCATTCATATACTTGTAGAAGATTTCCCAAGAAATGCAAATCAAAATGATATATATGTATTTATGCTCCTCATATAATTTTTGCTACTTGAAAATGAGTAATATATAGGATTGATGAGAAGTTTTTAATGGTATTACTATGTGTAGCCAATCTTATATTTTGTTTTTGAATGCTTCTAATTAATTCAATTACTTGGCACTATTATTGATTTATATCGTATTATTGTAATAACTATAATTTTATTCTAATACGTACAACAACATATGGATTGTACCGATTGCTTATACACACTGAAGCAAGACCATAAATAACTCCATGGAGTAAAAATAAATATAATTTCGAATTCAACTAATTTAAACTATTTATACTAATTGCATGAGTTACGTGTATCGCATATTCTGTGGAAATATAATTTCATTAATTCACATAAATAAAATTGTTTCTTGAATTCGATAGTATTGATTAATTCCGAACGACAAAAGCACTATGTGTTTATTGTGATAACCGTTTTTGATCAACATGAACTGTATGCATATAAATTATTCTACGTCTTTTCGAATGAAATGATATTTTATTAAACTTGTTCAACAGAAATATCTGACCTCGTTATATTTGACATATAATTCACTAATATTTTTTCTTATCTGCAGAAAGGATTTTGGTTACGAGAAACTCGTATATTTAAGAATGCACGACATGTACTTCTCATATATGAGAGCAAAAAAATCAAGGTTTCTTTTACTCATCATAAAAGAAACTTCTCGCTTCATAGGTGATTTATTTTTTTATGCATATATCAGCGTATAATTTTGTTTTGATCATAACAAAATAAAATCGAAAAACAAACGAAAAAAGGAAGAAGATTGAAAGAGGAAAAAACCCACGTGATGACGAGCGAATATATGAAAGAATACTACTTGCCTATTGAAAATGACATGGTTCATTGGTTCACGTAGATAAAAGTAAGTGGTAAAAATAACACGTAATTTTGCCAACGATAAATATGGTGTGCACGGCATTGGAAACATACCAGAAACAATAACTCATAGTCTCCAACACAATTCACTTTGTAAGTACATTTTATTCAAATCAAATTGTTTATTGATAATATAATATAGAAAAATCATAGGGATTTATTTTTAATCTGAAGATATTAGTTGTCAATAAAGAATTAAATATTCTAGATACATTTATTTGTTGAAGTTTCTTTTAAATATTCATTTGATTTAAGAGATAGATAGAATAAAATGTTGAATCCATTCAAAAGAAACTTCAATTCGAAAGGATGAAAACTGCCATTCTTTCTGTGTGCTTTCAAAATTATTTAGTAAGCTCTTTAGTCTTTAGTTAGTCTAATGATTAAGATATTAGAACTATCGAACCATGTTGCTCTTGTGCATTAAAATCAAATATTTCGAATGTGTCTATCATTTGATAAAACGGCCACTATAGTTTGAACTTTGCCATGCTTTCCTTATATTGATCTTTCGAATTCCATGGATGCAATTGGAATTAAAGTTTGTCTCAAAGAAAATTGAAGTATTTTATCTTAACCCTTGGGTCCCGGCTTCTGTTTTTGAAAAAAATCAAAACTTTTTCAATGAAATTTTCATATATGACCTTTATTCTTTATAAAGAAACTACCCACATCCCACTCTGATTATTATTCAAAGAAGAATGCGTTCGATTCGCTCTTACTTTTCTCTTTCACCACTCCAGCGAGGGTTTATATATACTACGATTCAGAAACGGAAAGAACATACTAGCTTTTCTAGGAAAGACAGAGCTAACTAGAACTTTCCAGCAGCATAGAAACTGATCCAATAGTACTAGAGAGAGCAGTCGATGATCAATATCAAGAGAAGAACGATAGAAAGCACATAGAATATAGATGTATACTACAAACGAGGAGAAACGAAAAAGAGGTTTGTATTGCTTTGCTATCATATAATGAACGATAAGAAGGTGTTCCAAACAAATAAAGAATGCACTGGGAGCATCTTTCTCAAATAACGACGTTTGGACGCAATTATGCGTCGCCAAGGCTCAACGGGTTAAACTAAAATTGAGTACGTAGATAGTGAAGAACTTGATGAGCTACCAATTTGAAAATGATTTTGTTTCTGAAAGTATTATCAAATGAGAGAGATAAATAAAATATGAGAAGTCTCGTCGGTTTCTGTGCTAAAATTCCGTAATTACACAGATCATTGTAAGAAATAGGGAGTTAGATATGTTGGATATGGAGTGAAAAATATTGGGGTTCTAATTGTTTTCATTGCTGATAATGCAGCCACATCTAAAAGAACTCTTTCTAGCTATTCAATGTATTAGCTCATTCTTTCTTACTGTAGTAAAAGTTCGTAAATGCGTACAACATGCATAAAAGCAGCTCACACACAACCAGCGGCGTGAATTATTACGGGCATAGCACTGAGAAAAAGGCAACGAGGGATAGTAGCACAAGTCATACCAAACATAAAACCCACAAGAAATCAGATGCAGTGAGTAGCTCTAGTCACTCAGGACATAATCCGAAACACTCATCAGAAATATCCAAACACGCCACCGGACAAACTACTACTACTGCTACTGCAGCTTCCTCAGCAACTTCTCGAGTACAATCGAGAAGATTCGTGCAAAATTACCTTGTAGTATGGCTCGATGCCAATATCGATGAGAAAAAGCAGCATTTTCAAAAGTCTCTCATAGAGCTTCGAAAGCTTGGCGTCACATTAGATCTATTTACTGACGTCGACCAATGTATTGAATACCTAAAACGTATCAATAATCGGAACATTTTTTTAATTATATCTGGATCGCTTGGATAAACGACGGTGCCACTTATACACAATATGGCGCAACTTGATACAATCTTCGTTTTCTGTATAAACAAGGATCGACACAAAGTATGGGCGAAAGATTGGTCGAAAGTCCAAGGCGTTTGTGGTACAATAAAGTCCATATGTAAGTGCTTAACAAAAGCTTCACGGTCTTGCAACCAGGATGCAATACCAATGAGCTTTGTGCCAAGGCGAAGCACATTAGACACAACATCATGCGAAGACAATATTGATCAATTGTCGCCAACTTACATGTACTCAGTGATTTTCAAGGACATCGTATTAGAAATCAATGATGATGACGCTAAATCTATAAACATTTTAGTGAAATTCTGCCAACAATAAAACATTCCTAAAAAGGAAATAAATGAATTGAAGTGCGAGTACCACGAAAGGTCAGCAGTCTGGTGGTACACAAAAGAAATGTTTCTCTATGGTATGCTTAATCGTGCTTTACGAATGCTCGATATGGAGATAATGACAAAATTAGGATTTTTTATACGACGTTTACATATTCAGCTGGAAAACTTGCACAGGGAACAATCAGCTAATTTTCAAAAAATGTTTACCGTTTATTGCGGTCAAGGCCCAAGTCAAGAAGATTTTCAGCATCTAGTTGATATAAAAGGTGGACTCCTTTCATTCAATAACTTCCTCTCAACTAGTAAGGAGCAAAGCGTCGCCACGAATTTCGTTCAAGGAGCCCTGCAAAAAAATCAAGACGTTGTTGGTGTTATTTTTATTATGACTATTGATCAAAGTAAAATATCAACTTCGAGTACTCCATTTGCTATGATTGACGAGCACAGTGCTATTCCATCAGAACAAGAAATACTATTTACAATGCACACGGTTTTTCGTGTCGTTGAAATTAAACAGACGGCTAACAATAATCGGCTTTGGGAAGTACAATTGAATATTACTGGTGATAATGACCAACAACTTTCTACTCTTACCAATCGTATCAAAGAGGAGATCGGCGGTAGAGGGTGGCAACGAATGGGTAAATTGATGCTCAAAGTAGGTCATTTCAATCAAGCTGAAGAACTCTACAAGGAATTACTCGAAAATGTTTCCACTGATAGTGATAGAGCATTTATGTATCACCAGCTTGGATACTTGAAAGATCAACAAGGTAAATATCAAAAAGCAGTTACTTTCTACGAAAAATCACTCGAAATCGAGCGGAAAACTCTTCCAGAAGATGATGCTTCATTGGCTCCTACTAATAGCAACATTGGTCTAGTGTATGACAACTTGGGTGAATACTCGAAAGCACTAGAATTTTACGAAAAATCACTCGAAATAAGAGAAATATCTCTGCCTCTGAATCATCCCGATTTGGCTATTTCCTACGCCAACATCGGTAGTGTGTATAGCAACATGGGTGAATACTCGAAAGCACTGGAATTTTACGAAAAATCACTCAAAAGAATGGAAATATCTCTGCCTCCGAATCATCCTGATTTGGCTATTTCCTACAACAACATTGGTAATGTGTATAATGGCATGGATGAATACTCGAAAGCACTTGAATTTTACAAGAAATCAATTAAAATCTATGAAATATCTCTGCTTCCGAATCATCCCAATTTGGCTGCTACCTACGGCAACATCGGTCTAGTGTATAACGGCATGGATGGATACTCGAAAGCACTTGAATTTTACAAGAAAGCCAATAAAATCTATGAAATATCTTTGCCTCCAAATCATCCTGATTTGGCTATTTCCTACGTCGGCATCGGTGTAGTGTATTACAGAATGGGTGAATATTCAAAAGCACTTCCGCTTCTAGAAAAAGCACTTGGTATTTTTCGAAAGTCACTTCCTTCAACACATCCACATATTAAAAGTGTAATGATTAGTATAGAAGAAGTGAAAAAGAAGTTGTAAATGTTTATTTTCTCTAGTATTCGTTTAATAAAACAGTTTGAATGATTATTATTTAATATTCACTAGTCGCGCGCAAGACCGGAAAGAGCCCTCCGTGGTCATGAAACGGGTAGTACATAGAGTGAGCCACGCCAGACTGATAGAGCAATGTACACAAGATATGACGTACAAATACGACGATACGATAATGACCTAGTTGTACACGAAAAGGCCTTCCTAGCTCTACACTATTTCGCCGTTTCTAGTAGCAATGAGTGGCTCTATCCGTATGTTTTTTTTTGTTTCGACTCAACTTAATCGTTCAATCTCTCTCGTCTCATCTCATTTTAGTTTTAGTTTTTTTCTATTTTTAGATTTGTATTATTTCGTCAAATAGTTGTTGTTTTGTTTTAGAAAATCTAAAGAAAAAGAAGAGAAAATATAAGTGATTTATTTTTGGAATTTATTTAAAAATAAAATAAAAGAAAAATAATTATAATTACATTGTAATTTGACATCATTATAACACGTCTAGAGCTAGAAACTAAAAGAAATTAGTTTATTATGTTTCTGTATCTACATTCTTTTATTTTTGTATCGGGAACAGCGACGTAGCCAGGATTTTCTAAAGTGGGGGATCAGATATTTTTATTGTACATTAATACATAATAACTAATTTTTATTGACATTTGATGAATCCCAATTACAATAACTGAAAATTTTCAGTTATTTTTTCCCGCCGGGGGGGGGGGGGGGGGGGGGGGGGGGGGGGGGGGGGGGGGGGGGGGGGGGGGGGGGGGGNTATGAAATACTTTCAGACGTGTTTATTAATACTAATTCAAAGATATTGATATTTTACCAATTGTTTGTTTTTCTCAATTCGTAAACCAAATGATGCAATCTTACGTGAGACTTTCCACTGCCGAGTCTCAATCCTGGATTGTCGATACATATCTAACAATTATTGAGTAAACAAGCAGCAGAACAAAAAGCACAACCTCAGCAAATTCAACGAGAAGGGGAAGCGTTATTTTCATAACAATCATCATATGTTTTAATCAAGAATTTTCTATTATTTAATGTCTGTGATATGTTTGCAAATATATTTACATTTAATTATTTAATAACATCACCAGAATTGAGAATTTGTTTTTCAAGAACTTAAATAATAACTGAATATAATAAGCGATAGAGACAGAGAAAGATACGCTTGTAATTACAGAATCACATTTTAACAAAATGGCTAATTAGCTTTGCTTCTTTACTTGCATAATCAGAAAAACACACAATTGGTAAAATATCAATATCTTTGAATTAGTATTAATAAACACGTCTGAAAGTATTTCATATTTTAAAAAGACTAGATGTATCGTTTTCATGATTGCACTTCAACTCCATTGATTTCAAACTATGAGAAGAGATATATTTTATTTTTCCATAAGATCAGCTTCGAATATTTTGTCATAAATTTTTCTGCCATGACTAAAATCCAATTGATCTACAATTCTCGAATAATGTTCCTTTTTATTTTAGCTGATCGTATCGCCAGACTTCAAATTTTACTTTTCAGATAATAATAAAAAAAAAGATGATTTAATATTCAGAGCAAGTGGACAGAATGGAAGAGTATGGATTAATTGTATCATAACTTATCAGAATTTTGATAATAAACACGTGGTGGAAGAAAATCTTGTATATTTTTAGCATTTGGGTCACTTTGCGCAAGTGACGAGGAACTATCCTTCATAAATAGAACTATTTCACTTTGTTTAGCGTCATGAAGTTTTGTATTTATATGATCTGTGCAATATAAGCTGCGTTCGAATCAAATTCTGCTGAATTAGCATCTTGTTTCTTTTTGTTGAAGTTTTCGTTATAGAAAACAAAACACTAAGTATACTGATTTGAAAAATGAGAGCGTTGATCGTTTCTTAAACAATAAGCAAGACGAACAGTTTTCTCTGATTGTATTTTCCATTTTCACGAAAACTTGACAACCGAGAAAAGCCTATAACATATTCCACATCCGTTGGCATAGAATTTAGATAGTTACCATCAATGTGTTGTCTTATTTTAACAGCAACGATGTTTTCATCACTGATTTATCTTCTCATGCTCGTCCTATTCAGGCAATTCGAAAATCTATGACTTTCTTTTCTTAGTTTCACCGTTTTAAATGGCATAGTAATATAACAAAAAAATGATACCGATTCTATAATAAATTCATTTCAAATTTACGAGAATGATGCATTCAGAATCATATGAAATAAGATCGATTGTATTTGAAGTGGCTACGTATCAAGTACTTAACGGTACTGAAATATATGATCCATGATTTACTTTGCCGAAACCAAATGCGACAGAAAAAATCGAACAAAAATTTGCTTTTGAATAAGAGAAAAAGATTGTTATAACACGCCGTCTGGCACGATCCGATAATCAGTATCGTCCTGAAAAATGTTATATTTTCTTTCCAAATAATACATAAACAACAGAATTAATTAGTCATTTTTATTTTCGGTCAATAAACTATTGCATTGATGATTGAAAAATGTTACCGCATGTTGATTTCAAAATATTTTCATTTTCCGATTTTTTCCTCGGAATTTTCTCGGACAATTAAAATACCCATGAAACTTTTTATGAATATCATTTGATGCTAAATCTAGTAAAAGAAAATTATTAAATAAATACAAACGAATCCTACTTACATTCTTTACATTTATATCCAGTTAATGGTTCCAATGCAGGAAAACCATGACTTTTCATTACAAACGTAGCAACCAGAAAAACAAACCAGCAACGCATCGGCACAATCATAATCGATTTGATATACTAAAAGAAACAGTAATTTTAGCTAGACTCATGAATAACATAAAAACCCAAAGAATTTCATTACCGGATATAAAAGTTTCCTGTTGTTTATGCTAATGCTATGATAAAGTGACAATGTCCTATTTTTTTATCTTCTGGAATATACTTCACTATGCATGAATTTATCTCGTGTCACTATTTTCATAAAGAGTTTTTTTGGATGAAAAAACGGAACCAAGGTTTTTAGTTCACAGTTCTATTTTCATACCTTAATATGAAAGGATATAGTAAAGAGATCGAAAATAGAAAGTACATTTTTTTATCGCATGCTTGAATACATAAATGGAGTGTGTTTAATTACATATTCCATTTAAGGATTTAAATTGTAGCAAACAAAATACGATAAGAAGTCAATGCAACATTCAATGTATTAAAAAAACCTTGGATAGAACAACGAAATAATCTTTATATTCACTGCGGATGTTCCGCTGGTATTTTTTATTTATTTAAGAAATATTGGAACTTCCCGCTGGCAAATAGATCTCATACAGTGCGAATCGCGATGCTTTTGTATACACAGAAAAAAATCGTTGTTGCCAAAAATATTTCAATTATTGTAATACTGTTCGTTAATACGTGAGAGATATTTATCTAAATGAAAATTTTCTTCTTTGCTTTTATGAGCCATTTTCTTTGGCAACTAAATAAAGCTAGCATATGCTTATGAATATCATTCGATGCATAATCTAAATTAAATATAATAAAAAAAAAGAATGAGAAACAAATTCAGGTTTCAACGTACAATCATATGCATTCATGCCCAGTTAGCGTTCCTACATATTGATCGTTATTCGCTGAAATTACAAGTAGACATAGAAATAGAATAAAATAGAGTCTTTGTGATATCATGATGACAATTGTTTCATGTAGGAATTTATCCATAAAATAAATTTTAACACACCTTTAGTTCAGTTGATAATAAGCAGGTGGGTGTAATATATGCACAATTAGTAGAAAAATAGATTCGTAATAAAAATAGACAATTGTCAGGACTGGAGTAAAACCGATAACATTATTTGCAGTTATGGTGATCTATTTAAACACGAGCGAACTCATGAAGTAGTCGAAACAATCTAGACTAAGTCAAACAAAAACTTCGGATTGCTTAAATAAATTATGATTTTGTTTTCGAGAAGTTGAAATGCCTTATGCTAATTTGTGT